GCACATCAGGCCCAAGATCACATGACTTTTGAGAATTAACATCAAGTTCTACTGAAAGCAGGGCCGGTAGAGAAATTCTATATATATATATATATATATGAGAGAGAAGTAATGATTTTGAATTTTGTTTTGTTGTGATCGTTTTTTAAAGATAATATTTGTTTTTGTATTTTAAAAATATTTAAATATTTTTTATATACTTTAAATTAATATGTTTTTAATATTTTTTAATTTTTTCAATGTGTTGATGTCAAAAATAATTTTTTAAAAATAAAAAAATATTTTTAATATATATTTTGATATAAAAAATTATTTAAAAAGTAACCACAATCACTTTCAAAAAAATTTAAGTGTATTTATGATTTTTCTTTCTAAAATTGCATAATTGATTTATTATATAAAACTAATGTTAGTGAGTGATTTTAATGTTTGTACTTGGTATTGGTATTATGAATGTATGATAATTTTTAAATGTATTTTTATTTAAAATAATATTAATTATTTTATTTTTAAAATTATTAAAAAAATCAATATTTTTTAAAATAAATATATATTTAAAAAATATAAAAAACAAAAGTTGCCTCAGTTACAACTTCCAACCAGCCAGTAGCACCGACAACTGCCTAACAGTCACCGTCAAAACACGAAACGTGAGCAAGCAAACCTAGTACCCAACAACACAACAGTACATGCACTGTTTCTTGTACTTCTTTCTCTCGCAAATTCACTTCAGAAAAACAAGAAATGGAGGGAAAAATAAAGAAATTTGGTTTTGAAGACAGCGAAAAGATAAAAAAAGCTCCACCAAGTTACAGCATTAAAGGTGTTGTCAGCTTTCTGAATGAAATTACCAATAAGGATGATCACAGGCCTGCGATTTCTCTTGGCTTGGGTGATCCCTCTCATTTCAAGTGCTTTAGGACTACTGCCATAGCTGAAGATGCCGTAATTGAAGCTATCCGTTCTGCTAAATTCAACTCTTATGCTCCTACTGGTGGTATTTTCCCCGCAAGAAAGTAGGTGTTAGCCAGTCATGTTTTTCCTTGAGATATATCCATCCTTTAATTTATTTTATTATTTAAGATAATTTGATATTTTATTAATCTTAATTTATAATCATTAGTATTTGATTATAAATTATATCACCAATAGTTAGAAATCCATAAACCAATTTGGTGAATGTTGCCTTGATATGATTGTGACTGGATTGAAATCAATATAAACAAATTAAGAACATCAACCTAATTCATTAGCTAAATCTTATGACATTCTTAACAAGATTCTAAGCTGGTAATCTCTTTAATGTTAGAAGGGCTATTGCAGAATACCTTTCCAAAGATCTTCCTTACCAGTTATCGCCAGAAGATATCTATGTGACTGCTGGTTGCAAACATGCCATGGAAGTGACGGTGGAAGTCCTTGCTAGACCAGAAGCCAATATTCTTTTGCCAAGGCCTGGTTATAGAACTTATGAAACTTTTGCAAATCTTCATCACTTAGAATTCAGACTTTTTGATCTTCTTCCCGAAAGAGGCTGGGAGGTTGATCTAGATGCTGTTGAAGCTATTGCAGATGAGAACACCATTGCCATGGTTATAATAAATCCTGGAAATCCTTGTGGAAGTGTTTATTCATATGAACATTTGAGTAAGGTAAACTAACCTATAACTTCAGGGTGCTGTCTTTTATGCTGGTTCTAGCTTTCACGTGCTTTTGTTGATCTTGTTATGCCGTAGATTGCAGAGACTGCAAGAAAGCATGGGATTCTTGTGGTTGCTGATGAAGTGTATGGTCATGTTACTTTTGGGAGCAAGCCATTTGTGCCCATGGGTGTTTATGGATCAACTGTGCCTGTTATTACCCTTGGATCCATATCGAAAAGATGGATGGTTCCTGGTTGGCGACTTGGATGGCTAGTAACAAGTGATCCTACTGGTTTACTTCAAAAATGTGGGGTAAGCTCTTCAGGCTTATAACCTTCATCCAATCAATCATATTTAATTTATGCTATTAATTATGTTTCTATATGCAACTTATTTAGATGATAAAGAAATATAGCTTGTAGAAATTGTTGCTTTATATACCATGTTACCGTATTCACTACTTGTTCTCTTCTCAGATCGCTGATTCCATTAAGAATGTTCTCAATCCTGCCCCTTTCTCGCCGACCTTTATTCAGGTTTGCAATCTTAAACTGCTACATGCATGAAGATAATGGGAAATTAACATCTTAATCTGAGAATCTTTTAACTATGATACGAAACTTCGCAAGGAAGAGCAGTAAAGTTCTAATGAATCACTGTCAAATAGACAGTGATGTTTAGTATCATGGTCAGACAAGCTTTTTTTTTTTTGTTTTACATTTTAAGCTGTGTTCTGATGGTCTGCTTTATATGTGTTGGTACATTTTTATGTTGCTTTGGTGTCAGGCCGCTGTTCCTAAAATCCTTGAGAAAACAACAGAAGAGTTCTTTTCAAAAACTACAGACATTCTTAGAGCAGCTTCAGCCTTCTGTTACGATAAACTGAAGGAGATACCGTGCATTAGCTGCCCACAAAGGGCAGAAGGAGCCATGTTTGTTTTGGTAAAGACAGAAACTAACAGCTTTCATATGATCTAATCTTGTATTTTAGTGAAAAACATTATCACAATTTGTCCTTGCAGGTGAAGCTTAACCTTTCACTTCTTGAAGACATCGAAGATGACATGGAGTTCTGTCTGAAGCTAGCTAAAGAGGAATCTCTCGTCATTTTCCCAGGTGAGCACCAAGTTAGAAATATCCACTTCCTGTCTCTTCCTTCTGCTAGTAATTTTAATGACCTTTTGATGAACTACTTAGGGATGCTATAAGATTTACCATGGAGAGATTCCCTGATGAGATATATTTCTTTCAGGGGTAACTGTGGGACTAAAGAATTGGCTCCGCATAACGTTTTCTGTTGAACAATCATCTCTTGAAGATGGTCTTGGAAGATTAAGGTCCTTCTGTGGGAGACATGCGAAGAAACCGTAGCTTAGCAGGATCAACTGCTGTTCATCAGCAATTTTACATTACTTTTTTATGTTGTTAAGAAATTGAAATAAACATGTATGAAATGTCGTCTGTAGCTAAGGTATGTGACTTCATGGCCAACTGTTTCAAGTTCTTCTGAATGAAGACCATCAATTTCTTTGTTAAACTATTCATCATTTGCAATTTGGATAGCTATCTCTGTCATGATCTGGTTCATGAATCCATGACAGATACATGCCCGAAGTCCTACTTCATGTTACTTACGAATCCAAACATACTTACATTCAAACCTTTTATGTTAATTCATTCGGAGTTCTACACAATACTCAATATCATAAATTATATTCCATAATTTAAATCAACATCTTAACACAAAATTTAATATAAATTTTATAATTATAGAGCTATAAAATTATATGTTAATGAAGCTATAAATTTAAAAATAATAAATAACGAGAGAATAAGTTTGATAACTCAACGAATAAATAATGTTCACTGTATACATATACTATATACATACAAGGTCATATATATATATATATATATAACAAAAAAGAAGAAGATAAAACTTATCAGAAAATCAAAATGTAATGAGCACAAAATTTCAGACTGTAAGATAATTAATTAATCGTCACAGGTTGGTGACTCTCCTAAAAAATTAAAATTTAAATACGATATGCACAAAAACTAACACTATTTTAATTGACATATCATAAAATCATAATTAAACAAAATATAATTATTTTTTAAAAGCTTAACGCATACAATCAATTAAATGAGAAGTTATCAATATAGAAATATATAATGTCTTATATAAAGGAATCAATCTCAATAAATAATAATGATTTATCATAGATAAGAGATAATAAACAATATATAAATTATAAAAAAGAATGATTAATTTTATATTAATAATTTAAGTATTTATACTACTCCTCTCATTTGTACAATTTGTTTGTAAAATATTATCCACTTACATAAATTAAAAGTAGTTAGGACACAAAAATAGATATTAATGAAAGTGCTACTAATACCCACTAAAAAAAATATTAGGAGTATTTTAATACCAAAAAAATAATGTACCAAAAAATAACTTAGAAGCAAAAAATATAAGAGATTGAATTTATACGATTTGGGATCAAAACATAAATATAAAAACGAAACATATTTACTTGATTAATCTTAAACATTTTGTAAAATTTTTGAACAAAAAAATCATTTATCCTTTTTTGCTAGGCTAACTGGCCAACCAAAATTTATCAATTAATCAATCAAAATCATCAAACAAGTTAATTGATTGAATTCAAATAATCTAACTGAATATCCGGTTGATCAAAATTTCAGAACTTTGATTCATCAATCTCCTTAATAACAATAAATCTTCAAAAATCTATTATTCATCTCAAAACCTTAAAATAATCATCCTTTAACATTTCAATTAAATTATCAATCTAGCTAAAAAAATAAACTTCAACATCCTAAACTTTAACAAAACTAAATTCAAAGCTAATTACCACAATCACAAGGTAAAGTATATATTTTACCTTAAACATTTAGTTTCTAATTACCACAATTACACGTTAAAACATATCTTACTTTAAACACTTAGTTTTAAACACTTAGTTTCTTCTATCTTTTTCACTTTCCTTTATCTCTTCTTCCTTTTTCTTTCTCTGATTCTAGTTCTCTCTCTCTTTCTCTCTCTCTCTCTCTAATTTCAGATTCTTTTTTTTAACCCATCCTATTTATTATTATCAATTGGTTGTGCAATTACTTCAATGCCTCTTATTCTTTTGTACCTCAGATCTAATCCTCCGAGGGTATTGTTGCCATCTCCTATTAAAGTTCTTTTTCATTGCACTGTATGACAACCTCCCTTCGTTTGTTTGCGTTTGCCTTTATCTTATGTCAGTACTGGACATGCAAACTTATTTGTTACTTTAACCGTGGACTTGTAATAAAATGGCAAGAAGCCAAAATGGTGGTTTCCCAAACTTTGTCTCCTTCTGAACATGGAAGACACCCAATAAATTGTTTAAAACTGGTTCCTATCTCTTGAAATTTAGCCACCAAAAGACGAATGCCATGGGCACAAATGTGCTCAAGACAGAAACACCAACCAGCATTGATGATGCTGTGTGCTTTTTAAAAGAAAATTTCAATGAAGGTGATCACAGGCCTGCAATTTCTTTTGGTTTTGGCGATCCCTCTTGTTTCGAGTGCTTCAGGACCACTCCTACAGCTGAAGATGCCATAGTTGAAGCTGTTCGTTCTGCTAAATTCAATTCTTACGCTCCTACTGGTGGTATTCTTCCTGCAAGGAGGTAGGTGTTGGCCAGATCATGAATTTCTTTGTGCACACTTTGCTGTTGAGATATATCCATTCGTAAGTTTGGTTTTCATTGCAAGATAATTTGATGTTTGGTTAATCTTTCTCAATTATCATTCTACATAAACGATGCATATATCTCTAGTTTTTTTTCTCCTGGTTAAAGGGCTGTTGCAGACTATCTCTCTCGCGATCTTCCTTACCAGTTATCACCAGATGATGTCTATCTCACCCTTGGTTGCAACCAAGCTGCAGAAATCACAATTAAAGTCCTAGCTCGGCCCGGAGGCAATATTCTGCTTCCAAGACCTGGTTATCCAGATGTTGAAACTTATGCAATTTTTAACAACCTAGAAATTAGGCAGTTTGATCTTCTCCCGGAGAGAGGTTGGGTGGTTGATCTAGATGCTGTTGAAGCTATCTCAGATGAGAACACCATTGCTATGGTTATAATCAATCCTGGAAATCCTTCTGGAAGTGTTTATACATACAATCATTTGAATAAGGTGATGTAATCATTAATAACATGGGACCTGAATCCTGAAATAAAGACTATCTTTTATGCTTAGCTGGTAATTGATCTTGTTATATGGTAGATTGCGGAGACTGCAAGAAAGCTTGGGATTCTTGTGATTGCTGATGAAGTTTATGGCCATCTTGTTTATGGGAGTAGTCCATTTGTGACCATGAGTTTGTTTGCCACAATTGTACCTGTTATTACTCTTGGATCTGTATCAAAAAGATGGATGATTCCCGGTTGGGGGCTTGGTTGGCTAGTGACTTGTGATCCTAGTGGATTGCTTCGAAAGAATGAGGTAAAGGCTTACTTAAAGCTGATAACACTTATCAAATCACTTGATATCATGACTTCTAATCTGATACCTTACAGAAACTACTGCTTGACATATGATGCGAAACTATTCTTCACTTGTATATTCTCAGATTGCCGAGTCCATTAACAAACTTCTTGTCTACTCGCCTTTCCCACCAACCTTGATTCAGGTTTGCAGATTTTGACCTTCATGAACATAATGAGACAAGTTTATCTGTGGATCTTTACTGCAATACTCATTACTGTAAACTTATTCACGTTTTAAATTGATTTCTGATAGTGTGATTTTTTTTTTCCTTTGCCTGCTCCAATACATAGCATTAAATTTTGATGTTGTCTCGGCATTAGGGTGCTATTCCTCAAATCCTAGAGAAAACAACACAGGATTTCTTCTCAAAAACTATTAACATCCTCAGGAAAAATTTGGACATTTGTTATGATAAACTGAAGGAGATCCCATGCATAATGATCTCACAAAAGCCTGAAGGAGCATTTTTTGCTATGGTAAAGACATAAACCAAGAGCTTCTTTTGAGCTATTAGTTTGTTAGTCGTTGACATGATCACTATTTGTGCTTGCAGGTTAAGCTTAACTTGTTGCTCCTTGAAGATATTCAAGATGACATGGAGTTCTGTCTCAAGCTAGCTAAAGAGGAATCTCTCATTATTTTACCAGGTGATCACCAAAGCTAGAAATACCTACTTCCTGTCTGTTACTTCTGCTGGTACTTTCGATAACCTATGCTATTAACGACTAGACTCCAGAGGGTTGCTTGAAGGTTACCGCACAGACACCATAACAGAACAAATTTCCATGCAGGGGTGACTGTGGGGCTGAAAAATTGGCTCCGCGTGACATTTGCAGTTGAGTACTCATCTCTTGAAGATGGTCTTGGAAGGTTAAAGACCTTCTGCCAGAGACATGCCAAGAAATATAGTTTAACAGGGTCAACAGCAGCTGATCAGCAAATTCATGTTGAACATTAGACCTTGCTCATGTTATTAAGAAATTGAAATGAACATGGTTACCATATTATTGTAACAAAGGCAAGTGACTTCCTATATGGACAATTATTTTAAGTTCCGATGAATCAAAGTAGATGGTTATGGGTGGATTAAGCTGAATGGGTAGCTTTTGCCACCCATAAATGCGAGCAATGAGCCATTGTCTTTCCTCTCTAAGGAGGTTGGTGGAACTTTGAAGGATGTGATGAATGTGGTGTTAGGATGAAAAATTCTTGCTGTTTTCACAATATGTTGTACAAACTTAGGTTTCTCCATTTTCGGTATGTGAGTATTTGATTAAACTAATAAAAATTAACTTTATCTTATGAAATTGATTTCAAATGTAGATAGATTTTTTCACTAAAATCTTGCATGGCTTAATGTCTTGTGATAAAAGGTCATGAAGCCAACATGCCAGGAGCCTAAATTTGTCTCCATCCGAAGATGACACATAACCAAGAAGTTGTCTAAATTTGTCCACTTCTGGGGCCATTTAAAACTGGAATTAAAGCTAAAGTCACCTAACCTCATTGCTCTTTAGACTAACATTTCTTGTTTCTTTCACGTCTAACTTCTTCCTGAACATATTTGGACATTGACAAATTAAGTTGCAGGTCTCTTACAAAACTTTTATCTCCTTAGTAACCGGGGTCAATCTGTTGGTGCTCTGTTATCAGGCTGCTATTCCTCATGTCCTACAGAAAACAACTGAGGATTTCTTCTCAAACACAATTGACATTCTTAGAGAGGATTTGGACTTGTGTTTCGATAAACTGAAGGAGATTCCAGGCTTGAAATGCCCGCAAAAGGCATAAGGAGGGATATTTATCATGGTAAAGACAAAGAAACAAGGATCTTAGTTTCTTTCTTCACAGCTATCTAGTTTAGCTGAAGACATGCTCATGAATCACAATTTGCCTTTGCAGGTTAAGCTTCACTTGCCACAGCTTGATGATATTAAAGATGACATGGAATTCTGTCTCAAGCTAGCTAAAGAGGAATATCTCATCCTTGTGCCTGGGAAGCAGCCTAACTGATGCACCAATGGTTGCTTGAAAGATATCCCATAAAGACACTAATGAACATAAATTCTTTCAGGGATTTCTGTGGGATTGAAGAATTGGGTCAGAATATCTTTTGGAGTTGAGCACTCATCTCTTGAAGATGGCCTTGGGAGGTTAGAGGCCTTCTGCCAGAGACATGCAAAGAACAATAGTTTCACAGGATCATCATCTGCAATTTCATGTTGAAGTTATTAGACCTTGCTAGTCATGTTAAGACATCAAAATAAACATGTTGCCTCAATGTAACAAAGCAAGTGTCTGTGGACGACTAATTTGAATAACAAGGCAAATTCATGTTGGACTATATCTTAATCACTTCATCAAAATTGAGACTTATAAAGGGGAAAAATGATATAGACTTTTCATCAATGAAGTTAAATAATCAATTAGTCATGTAGATCATGCGAGGTTGTCCTGCTGTCGAGTGATTCTACATAGCACTAACCACTGATTACAATTTATACGTACCAACTGGCCAGCTTAAGCTTCTTTGTCCAATGGAATAGTTCAAGAAAATTAGTTTGCCTTTGCCATGACCAGCACGTCTCCGGTAATGAATCATCAGTATCATCATATTCATATAATTACATGGCCTGAATCTTATCTAAGATCTAATTCAATTGTGGGTGCTTACCAGTTTTTGCTACTAAAGTGCTGGATACAAATTCCAAGTGATACTTCTGATTAAATTTTGCTCAGACATTTAAGCAAAAGAGATGAAAGGGGAAGGTACCCTATAAGCCTTAAATATTAGTTGGGGTAGTAAATAGGTTTCGAGTTCGAATATAAAGTGCCCACAACGAATGTATCAATGATTTGATAGAGTTTGGATCCAAAGAGATGAATTGTGAAACTTAGCTGAGCATACATATAGTTATACCACTTGGATAAAATTAATTTTTGATGCAATCTCAATCCCAACCCAAAGCAACCCTAGAATTAACCTATCTCACAATTTCAAATCATATTTGGCCTATATACTTAAGATGTTTCACATACCCAAATTTTTTTTTCTAAAATCTTTCAAGCAACAGATAAACCACAAGACCACAAATATAAAATCAGAATCACAAAGCATAATTTATAGAAAAAAGCTCTCAATTTTTATTAATATTAATAATAAATGATACACAAAATTGTTTGTGTGCATTCTATTGCAAGCTACACAACTTTGACCTTTATTTATTATAAAAAATAAAAAAGTTACATAAAAAATTGCTCCTAGATAAGTCTACCCAAATTTGGACAGTTTTGTCTAAAAACAATTAATGCCAAAAACTGTCTCTAACTATCCATGTTGTAACTTCTCTAAACCTATCACCTTACATACCATCAAGTCAATTAGTTGAGCCCTCTATGTCAGCCTTGTTGTGTTTCTATATATCTTGGACAATTTATTATCAAGTTTGAAGTCATATCGAATATGCACTCATTATTCGCATGCACTTGTTATGCATTGCTTATGCATGTTGTCAAAATCCCAACATTGTTCTTATTGGCACGCCTTCATGCCTAAGATTGTGACAAACCACCTCTACTTAAAGAGTTTGATGCATTTATATTTTTTGTTTGCTCATCGATTTGAGGATGATTAGCTGTGGAAAAATTTAGTTGTGTCTCCATCATGTTGACAAAGTTGTTCAAAATCTATCACGAAGCGTACATCACGATCACTAACCATATCTGACGGGATCCAAAGTATTTCATTACATTTCAATAAAACATCCTCGCTGTCAGCTCTGCTATGTAAATTGATGGAGTAGTAACTAACATTGAATATTTGGTCAATCTGTCCACAACCACCATTATTGCATTCATGTCATCTACTTTTAGAAAGCTCATAATAAAATCTATAGAGACTAACACCCAAGGCTTGTTTGGAATCAATAGTGGCTAAGGCAAACTTGTCTTGCACTATCATAAAGTCTTGTCTTACTAGCATACTAGATAAGTCTTGATATATAACTATATGTCTTCATCAATCTTCGACCAATAATATATTTGGGACAACAAAGCTGGCATTCTTTTCCTTTCCTAGATGTTCAGCTCACTACGGATCATGTGTCTCTAACATCAACAATCTTCATAGCTTCTCTTTTAGCATGTAGATTCGACCCCCTAGCATTTAGGAGATCATTTTATAGCTAATATCTTTGCAGTGTCCCTTCTTGTACAATATAATAGGTTCGATTGAGGAACCAAAATTGTTAACGAGGATGATTTGGTACGCTGTTTTGAAGGGGAGGCAATATAGTTGGCTATTTTAATGCTTATGATGACGAATGATTCATAATGATAGAAGTAGAATGGTTTATGCCTTTGTTTGGTTAGCATGTTTGGAATGTTTTGTGGTCGATATGCGTGACAAAGGTTAGACAATATGACTATTGTGTCAATAAATTTTTATGGCTGATAGGGAAGTATGTTGGGTACCATAATGTGTGTATGTTTTAGCAAGACTGGGACTTGTCAAAACAAATTCAACACAAGATATGTTGATCATCAAAACTAGGTTGCTCATTTCTATACATATAATTTACATGTGGAATAGTTAGGAGAGTTGAGTGAATTTATAGGGTTCATTTGATTCTTCAAGATAAGTTTTATATGGTGTTGTTCATAAAAAGAATGAGATCTCTAGGATGTTATGGTAAGTGTTTGAATTACATGAAAACAACTTGTGGGTGAATGACTTGGCATGTGGGATTGCCGGGAGATGAGTATTGTTGTGTCACATAATTTTGACAAACATAAAGGCAGGTGATAGTATGGTGTTACAATTGGGGTTTCTCAAAGATGGATATTGATGGATTGATTTTCAATAGTTTTAGGTGGAACTCAAATTTTATTTAACTCTGGTAGAAAACAAGTAGGACCCTTGAGAAGATGTTAATCATAGCTTGGTTTGGAAATGGATTGATGATGGGAAGGTCATCCTAGAATCCCAAAATCGATGAGTAGTATCCTAGATGTGGATGGAGGCAAAATCAAAAGGTTGCGTATAAGACCCTGTAATGTAATATTAGATAGACATGGCATAATGGTGCTTTAAATTTGGTTCAATAACGACATCGACTTCTTCTAGTGGAGGAGGTTTGTAATAGGGTTAAATTTATTAGAGTTACGTTATAAAAATAGTGTTGGAATGACAAAGTGGAATGATATTGAAATTAATAGCTTAAACTTTTATTAACTTAAAAGGATATATTGATGAGATTGATCTTCAATAATTTTGCATAGGACTCAAAGTTTATTTGATTTTGTTGAAAGACAAACAAGTTTTTAAAAAGATATTAAAAGTAAAAGTATAGAAAAAATATTCTTTGATGATCATCCTACTTTTATCATATAACTTTAAGCTCGTAAAGTATTGTCATCAAATAACTAATTATTAATACTAATAAACCATAATTCATTGTCAAAACTTTTAGAGGGTGTTAAAGAGTGATAACAGTTATTTTTTAAAGTGTTTTTTATTTAAAAATATATAAATATAATATATTTTTAATTTATTTTTAATATTAGTATATCAAAATAATTTAAAAATATATTTATTTATTTATTTATTAAACTCACCAAACCTTTAATTGCGCCACATCAGCTTAACAAATGCAATCCCACCATGAAAAAGCCATAAACGGCACAAAGAAATAGATTTGCCCATGCTTTCTTACCGTTGTACCTCATCCGGCCTCATTGACCTCATTGACCCACAATTCCCACCTCAAAATATCATAAAGTGACAAAACCCGTCTCCCCAACGGCTACTTCCATCTCAACAAAAACCCTTCCTTTCTCAATCAAAAACCTCAAGAAATCTCCTCGTTTAACAAGCCCTGATTCTTCTCTCTCAAATCCCACTAAAATTCCGTAATTAAAGAACTAAGAAAATGGATACAACACCACCTTCTCATAGATCAAACCCAAACACACATGCAAAATCAGCCTCTCGTTTATCAAGAATCGCATACTCTATCGACCCAGAATCACAGCCTCCTCAGCTATCTCTAGACCTTATCCCTTCATCACAGAAGGAAACCCCATCAACCCCATCTAGTCTTTCACTCAAGTCCTCAACCAATTTTCTCCCTCTTCGAGAACTTCTCCTTCTCTCACCATCTCCTTCAAGAAAATCTAGAACTCGTCTCGCCGACCGGGATGAGATGCCAGAGGAGGGTGGTTTGGAGCAAAATGGGTCTAGAAGGAGATGCAAAAGTAGAGGATCTCAGACGGGTTCTTTAGGTTGTGCTTCACCGAGGAGTAATAGAAGGTTAAGGAGAAGATTGGAGGTGGAGAGTAGGGAAGAGAGGGATTTGATTGGTTTGGTAGATGAGGTTGGCAAAGTGAGAAAAAGAAGACATAGCGGCCGGTCTAAGAAGGAGAAAGAGAAGCTCTCTTTAGTCCATTCATTTCCTTCTTCCAATTCTACTGCAAGTATGTATAAATCACATGTGTTTCTCTTTTTCATTTTTTACTGCTTAGTCCTTTAAAGTTGGGATCTTTTTTTTTTATATAATTGATTTGTGCTTATTTTATGGTGATTTGTGGGGTTTTAGAAGTTGATGAAGGTGATGGAAGAAATTTGGATAGGATTGGAATGGTTGTTTATGATTTGATAATGTGGAAAGATGTGACAAAATCAAGCCTTTGGTTTGGTCTTGGATGTCTGTGTTTCCTATCTTCTTGCTTTGCTAAAGGGATGAACTTTAGGTGTGTATCTCTTTTTTATACTCCTTGTGTTTCGAATATTCGTTTTATGGTTTCGTTAAGGTATCTAAACCTCTTCATTTTTATGTTTTATAGCATTTTATCTGCTATTTCGCAACTAGGACTTCTGGTTCTGGGTGCATCTTTCTGCTCGAATTCGATATGCCAAAGGTACATGCCTCCAATGTTTCTGCACAAAACTATGTGCATGTTCTAATTCCTAAAAATCATATGTTCTGAGTTTTTGGAATTTTATAATGTAATCACAGAAACAATGCTGCAAAGACACGAAAATTTAAGCTGACAGAAGAGGACGTTTTGAGAGTGGGTACATTGATACTCCCAGCTGCAAATCTTGCAATTTCAAAGACAAGAGAGCTTTTCTCAGGAGAACCATACATGACCATAAAAGTAACAACCAAATCTCATTGCACAGTACTCTCTTAAAAATGTTTCCCATCTGCTCAAGCAGGTACTTAAAGAGCCTTTTATTTCCTGGTTCCAGGTAATTCCATTCTTGCTTCTTGGTGCTGAGTATGGTCATCTTGTAACTTTGAGGAGGCTTTGTGCTATTGGTATGTGAACTAGAATACAAATATGTTAACAAATCTCCTTGTAATCAATGTTTTGATGATAATTCAGTTCTTAATCATCTTGTGCAGGGTTTTTCATCAGCTTCACCATACCAAAACTATGTGCTTGCTATTCTAGTCAGATAAAGCAGAAAGGTATATAAAACCTCTCCATGTGATTGGAATGCTGTTAGCCTGTCTTACCATTCATGGTTGATTAAAAGTGAGATTTTTTGGAGTATTTCAGCTGAGCAAATGAAAAACCGAATGTTTGAAGCTTGGGGAGCTTGTTCTCACAAAAAGATTGTGGCAGCATCAGCAGTGACTGCTTTCTGGAATCTGTCAAGTGTCAAAACCCGTATTTTTACTGGTAAATGTGCAGAGTTTTTCAGTATTTAAGCTGTTAAATGGATCATTGAAAGCTACATAAAAATTCAATAGGGCATTAACATACAAGCATTTTGCTAGGATGTTTGGACACACATAATGTAACTACAGAACTTCAAGCCTTGATTATTAAGTTAGATTTGATTTTATTTGCAGCATTTATATCCTTGGTGATACTACGATGCTTCCGGCAACATCTAGTGCCGAAACAGGAAGATGGGGAGACACTTCCAACACAGGCAGAAGGGGAAGCAGAAAGAGAGCAAGAGAAACAACAGTCATTAGTGGTGGCAGAAGGGAAAGCTGAAAGAGAGCAAGAGCAACAACAGGCATTAGTGGTGGCAGAAGCAGTGACCTCCCAGAAACAGTAGCTTGCTTGCATCTTTGCCATTTCTAACAACCATAAATTTGCAATTCCAGCATATATATGTATGAGGCATTGTGTTCTACTCTAAAAAACTAACAATTACTGTGAACAAAAAAGATTTTGTATTTCTTCTGCTTTGAGTGTCCTTTTCTTTTGACATTTTGATCATGTTCCTTGCTACCCGATAAATGAAAATAAAGAATGAATCAGTAGTGACCAAAAATAGAAGGGCCTCGCAACCAAATATGAGTTATAATGAAGTGTTTGATTGTGTCGGAATAGAAAAGATAGAAATATTGGAACAGATCTTGTTATATTTCAAAACCATTTATAAAATAAATTTATTTTATGTGTTTTTCTTATTTATTCAAATACATATATATTTATATTTTTTTTACGTCTACATTTTTGTTTTAGAATGCTAACCAAATATAATTAGAAGAGCTCATTATTATAAATGTACTAAAAGAAAATTATTTTTCCTGTGAAAATGATATAATTATAATTTTTATTAATTTTTTTATTATACTATAGCGATGGTAAAATTATAATTGTCAGTTTGTTTTTTAGTTTAGAAAACAAGTTATTTTTTTATATATTTTTTTCTCTTTATACGTAGTATTTTTATCATTTTATACTTAGTATCTCTCACCAATTTTTTTTCTTATCTTTATTTTTTTTGTAATATTTTTTAGTTTTTTGAAATGATGTTTTCCTATATAAATTGTATAATTGTAAATTTTACCATTTTTTTATGCATCGATAGCAAAATTATAATTTTTTGATTTTTTTAAAATATTTTTTTCTTATATTTGTGTTTTTCTTTATACTTGAATGTCTCACAATAACACTTTATTTTTTAAAAAATTTATTAGCTTAAATAATTTTTGATGTATTTAATTAAATACATGAATAGATTTTTTTATTTATAATTAGAATTAAAAAACAGTTAAAAAGTTTATGTATTTGTTTTTTTACCAAAACAAGTTATCCAACAGTGTCGAAATGCAGATGAAATACCAAAGTATCAACTAAAGGCAAACAAAAATGCTTATTCTCGCAAACGAGTGCTTGATCTAGCGGTGGAAGGGGTTTGTCTACTTCTACTGTACCTGGGTTCGAGCCTTAACGTATATGTCTGTCATCTTTACGATGCGTTACATGTCTATTGGATTTGCAGGGTGTTCAGTGAGACCAAAAAATTCTAGTTAGTGGTGAAAGGGGCTTGTCTACTTCTACTGTACCTGGATTCGAGCCTTAACAACGTTTGTCATCTCCACGGTGCCTTACATGTCTATTGGATTTGTAGGGTGTTCAGTGAGACCAAAAAATTCTAGTAATTTTAAAAATCTAGACATGTCGTTTGTGTCAAACTAGAAAAAGCCATATGTCGTTCACACAGATGCAGGACATTTGACTTCCCCTCGACAACAACCAATAAAAACAGCACACGTGCATAAACCCCACATAAGCTTCTCTCAAAAGTCCAAACCCAAATCAAAAACCCTAATTCCCATTTCTCTCCTTTCTCCTCTCTCTTCAATTTACAAACAACCACTAGTGTTTATATATAAGAAAGAAAAGGCCTTTCTTGCTTGCTATCTCTCTGTCAAACCAATAGATCTTCCAATCGAAATGGCCACTGCAGCGGCAGAGAAAAGAAAGCCAGTGTTCATCAAAGTAGAAGAACTAAAGCCAGGAACTAATGGTCACAATCTCACAGTCAAAATTCTCGACGCTAAACCAGTCCCTGTTCCTAAGCCACGTCGTGCTCCTATGTCTCTTTCCCAACGCCCTCAACGCCCTTCTCGTATTAATGAATGTCTTGTTGGTGATGAGACTGGGTGTATTGTTTTCACTGCAAGAAATGAACAAGGTAATAGATTCGTTCATCTTTATGGATAAATCATGTGTTTTTTTTATGGGTTTTTGATCATTTTGATTGAAATTGTTTCTGGGTTTTGGTTCTTGTTTGAAATGCAATCTGGCGTTTGGGTTCCGAGTCTTGAGACGCAATAAAGGTGGCTGCTTTTTTGGTTTTTGTGTGTTGGGTTTTGATTTTTTTGCTTCATTGGTTGCTGGGTTTAGGGTTTTGAGAATCAATTCTTTGAATTTGTTTTTTGGATCTTTTGGTTTTATGAGGTTTGGTTAATTTAATGTTGAGGTTATTGCAGCTGTTGTGGTTTGTTGCTACTTTGTTATGGTTTGTTGAGAGAACAGAGTTTGGGTCTTTATTTTATTAGGGTTGAACGAAAGTAAATGTTCGGCAAAGCTGAGCCTTTGGGGGTTTTAGTTCAAAGCAAACTAGCCTTTTGGGTTGTTGTGTGTGTTTTTAGAACCCGAAATAGAGGTTTATATGTTAAGGTTTGTGTTTGGGAAGCAAAGTTTTGCAAGGGTGAGAATGAATTTTGAGATTGTAGAATATTAAAAGTAAAAATGGAAGCCTTGGAGATCAGAATGCATGAATATCAGAATTCATAATTCACCATAATTATTTATCCTTGATTCATAGATATAATTGGATAGGCAAAACTATAAGTCTGGGCCCGTGGACATTAAGTGTCATCTATTGATTTTAAACCATAGTGCTCCTCCATTCAGGTGCCAGAAAAATTGTCTGGTCTTGCTTTCTTTAGTTTGTATAGTTGCATGACATAAAATTTGATGCTTTGATCAGTGATCCCACCGGTAACTGGCATGTGCACGCATGGGTGAATAGAATTCACTTTGTTCTCTTTTGGATGTGGTTATTCATCTTTTGGAGGTGATGTGTATTTCTGGACTGATGTTTGGTCTTCATCATGGGCAAACCATGGGTTGTTTTCTTTGACATGCTAATTCATCTCTGGTGTCGAGCATCATCTGTACTTCTGGCTTGCAGCAGTTGGGAAAAACATATCCTGCCTCTGACACTGCATGCTGGAAGACATGTAGCCTGTTCTACTATCTATAATACATTGACCGCAGCTTTCCTAGATTTAGGTGCTACTGAATGGTTCTAGCTTGGATTTTTTTTGACAATTGTAAAGTTTTGTTTAATGTTTTTTCATGTGTTCTAACAGTGAGTTTGATCCTATGCAGCTGACATGATGAAGCCTGGTGCCACTGTCATCCTGCGTAATGCAAAGATTGACATGTTCAAGGGGTCTATGCGGCTTGCAGTAGACAAGTGGGGACGAGTTGAAGTTGCTGAACCTGCCAACTTCGCAGTTAAAGAGAATAACAATCTTTCTCTGGTTGAGTATGAGTTGGTTACTGTTCAAGCATGATGACCAGCTCTCTAATGGAAGTGAATATTTCATATTTAGTAAGAACTTGATTATTGTTTCCTGGTTGTGAACTACATAAGACTAAGATTCTGCTTTGAATATGGTACAAAATTTTGATGAGAAGTTGTAAGTTTCATTGTTAACTGCAACAATTGTCAGATTGGGAATGGAATGCAGCTGAATGTGATTATCCAATCCGGCCTTTTTATTTCATTTTATTTTCCTTCTGTTTTTCTTTTTCATTCGTTTACTTTCTCCCTTGCAAGCTTTTGGTATTGTGCTCGACAGGGTTCAGTCTCTTTGTTTACAATACCATGACCTTAAAAATAAACTTGAAATCTGCAAGAGAACAGCAATGAATCTAAACGAAAAGGGGGAGTATACCCTGTACTCTGGATTTGTTAATATGTAACGAACCAAGTAATTTGCGGCAATGAGGTTAGGTTTGGGGTTAAACTTAAAACTTACAACCAGATGGATCAAATACGCTATATATCAAGCAATGCAGGATATGCTGAAAAAAATTAAGATCTGTGCAAATTATACGTACGTGCATGTATTTCTTTATGCATACACATATAAAACATTCAATTTTATGTCCTTAATTTTCAACTCTGAATTTTCAGTTGGGCAGGGGTATGCAACATAAAACAAACAGTGCGACTACATGAACATGAGCAATGGGGGAAAAAGAGGAAAGAACCACTGGGTCCTACAGGCCAGAATAGGCATCAACAGATTATAAACCTTGAAAAAAAAGACCCTCATGGTTGAGATGCACAATTCCTTAATCTGTTAAATAAACCAATTCTAAGGCAGCACAATGCATTATCTAGCTGACAATAAATGATTTAGTGTCCTTGACTTGCACCGGATAAAAAGGCAACTACCAGCAGAAAAAAACAACGCAAAACACATTTAGCATTCACTAAGAATGAATGCCTCCGCAGTTTAACATGCATAGGTTTTCTGATATTATGATGATGCGTGCCTAAGGGTTTGATATGAGCTAAAACTATCTCAAGCAACGCATTATCCTAACCAGCCTGAAATGATGAGACAAGGATGTGCAGGATTGGATAAAAGCAGCACAAGATCAACAAGGGGTTGTTGCACTGTCCACTTGCTTTGATTTATAAGACATAAGGGAACAGCTCATAGTTGTCACACATGTAACATAAAGCTTAAAATAACAAATGGCAATGGATAAACATCAATGTACACAGAAATCAAATATTTGAAACACCTTCACTTTCGTTCATGTTCATCGAAGTAAATAAAGCAGCTATTATAGGGTACATGACACTAATGAAAAGGGTGCAGTCCCAGAGTTTCTTACATACAAATACTTTTAGTTTGGGGCTCAGAAGAAACATGAAAGGAGTGGGGGAAAAAAATATTCAGGGTGAACTTTCCATTAGGAAGCTTATTCAACACTTCTAATCTAGCAGGCATCATTCTCTTAGATGAAAGAACTTTTGAACAAACTTCACCCGAACCCATTGCACATTCATCATACATCATCATTGCAAGCTGATTAAATACAACAAATTAGTAGGGTGCATAAAATCACCTATTTAACACCAACAGTACAGAAGCTTCAGAAAGAAAACGCAGTGAAAACTGTAACTGAATGAATCTGTAATACATCTTTCAAATTGATGAACTGAGAGCTACATCTTACGCACAACAAAAACATACAAGACAAACGAGTAGCTTATTAGGGCTATAGAGGGATTAGAGTCTTCTAATCCATCTAGGTTTTAGAAGCTCAGAAAATCTAACTGGTCTCTTCAGCAGCAAAACTTTTAAAGGCAGAATTTTGTACTAAAACTGCTTGAATCTTCCGACAATTCATCACACATCATCATTGCAAGCTGATTGAA